TAATAATAGTACAATCCACACGTAAAGAAAAATTATTGATTACATTACCCATTGGCGTAACGTTTGGGCCCGCAATGCGGACAGACCAGGATAAAAGAGGACCCGTTTCTAGGGAATATTTTGATTATTTAAGGTATCAACACTACTTGTATTAGCTTGACACTGGTATAAAGGGGGCCTGGATAAATCTTTTTCGGTCGGGCCTTCACTCACTTCGATTTGCTACTGACGACAACTATACAGACGGCATTAAAAACAATTTAAATAATGTTCGGTGTTATAATAAGTTAGGAAGTAAGACAAAGTAGATTTAGATTGGGTCGTATGTCATCTATTTTGTAAGCCACGCAATCAAGTGTTCCTTGTAAATAACATTAATGAATAAATATGAAGTATTATTGTTTCGCATATACCTACATGTTCTCCAAATGTTCCCAGATATTCCCCAAATGTAAATTGTGTATATACGAGTGTATGTGTAATGTTTACTAGTGTAAATACCTCAAACACTCAAACTATCATGAAGGTAAATTTACAGAATGTAAATAGTGTTTGGTGATTGATCAGGAAATGTAAATATTTATAATAGCTTAGGACGTACAGAAAAAGTATATTTAGATTTGTTCGTAAGTATCTATTTTGTAAGATAGACCGTAATTTTTCTATGTAAATGGGATTGAGGAATAAATATGAAATATTGTTACTCAGCTTTTTCCAAATGTTCTCTAAAAAGTACCCTCTAATATATCTCCAAATGTTTCCTCAAGTGTGTCCTGCAATGTTCCTATTAATGTGCTCAAAATCTTCATAGAACTTTAAAATAATTGTCTTAAAAGTGAAAATAGCTTCGCCCTGGAACCAAACTTTCAGCGATTCTGGGTATCTGTGAGTGACGGAACAAAAACAAAAAAAACAAAAAAAAAACAAAAAAAACAACAATAGAATGTTTGAAAAATAATAATTTTGTAGATTACAGTAGAGAAAACTTGGGTGCCTTTTAGGGACCCAAAAAACTACTATTAAGGCTCCGGAGTGCGTTGTTTCAGAGTTTTCAATGTAGGAAAGCGTGTTGGGCATAACGTTTATGTCGGCTTGCATGTGCACCAGACAATCGAAATGTTCTTTTTCTGCGATATACTATGATGTTTTTTATTTTGTATTATTTTCAAATTTTTTTAACCTCTCAGTATGGTCAAATGGTATTATTTCATTGTTTTACTGGAAAATTATTATTAAATATATAAAGAGTCAAGTGTTTCACGTTTTATTTCTGATTATAAAGTTCCCAAATCTTCTGCAGAGAGACCCCATTTGAAAGCTTGGAGAGAGGGTCAACCTTGAAATTTGGTTCTAGATTCCTATCACCTGCCATCTGGGTCCCGCCGGAGTGAGGACCTATGGGAGTCAGAGCCATAGGGAGGTGATTTAGCTGTGTCAATAACTCTTCAGTTAATATTTGCGAGTTCGGAGAGAAATAAACGAAATCTAGAGCGCGGCATGCTGTTAGAAGATTGCCACGCAGCATATCTCTTTTATCTACTGAAAGAGTAGGAAGATGAGTGTGCGTCATGATTCAATAATGATGTACGTATCCATGAACGCCGTTAATCAAAAGCAAAGAGATTGCGGTCTAAATATACTACGTCATTCATAACCGTATTTTGTGTACGAATATTGTTCATTGTCAGCGTTCGTCAACATGTTCTTTTGTATACTGGTAAACACAAAGTCAATCCGTTTGCCTACAGGAAATTATAAGTGACAATAAAAACAACTACAAACATTTATTGCAATGAAATGAGTCTCGGTCAGATGTGAATTACTTCTTTACTATAATAGAAATAACAATACCAGAAAACGTGTGTAAAAAATACTTTCATGAACTGATTTTCATACTATTTTTACTTGCGGATGACATGATGATGTTTATAAAATCCTTAATAACCGAGAGAATTTGCCAATCGCTGAAAACGGGGGGGGGTATTTTCCATTATAAATATATTTGAATAAGTGTAGGCATGTCTGAAGTATCACAAAAATAATTAAAATATATTATCAGCCACATTAAATTGAAGTGTTGTGTATGTATGTATGTGTGTGTGTGTGTGCGTACGCGTGTGATTGAAACTATTGAAAACAACAGACGTAGTTTAACCTCGTATTGGTATTCTAAAATAATAAATCACCATTTAGATGTTTTTACAAATTTTGTTTGCCTATCATTCTGTTTATCTGGGGAAATCTCTGAAACGCAATTCGGTGGAGATATCACCAAAATTAGAGTAATTGTTGGGTACAATTTTATCTCCTTTTCACAGATCTTCATTAAATACTAATGTATTATAAAGATGATTTTTTAAGTTCGTTTGCTCTTCTATGGTCACCAACAGTTTTATATTGATCTATATCAGCATGTGCACTATAAACAATTAAATTACTTGACGCGATCACAGCGGCCATTGTGTTGGTCAGCGTAATTCCGTTGCGCAGTTGCACGCTCTGTGCCCCACTAATTCATTTCTTGTCTGCTTGCAATGACCTTGAGTATTTCCAAGTATTTAACGATGCGCAAAGCGGGAAGATCACTGGAGTTTATGACTCAAAAATGGTAATACCCTTCAAACGTAATGGTGTAGTAGATCCGTGTTTAACAATTCAAACGAAGGCGATTGTATTAGTACACTTGTACATTTAAAAGGATACTCCTTCTTAAATTTAATGTGAGAATACGGTGAAGTTTTGTGTGTACTACAATGCTATTTAGAAGCAAATACTGCAAATTGCTCCTTGTTACCATTTGGCAAATAAATGTACTTGAACATTTCTTCTCCCATCTTTTAAGTCACATATAGTATTAGTATTTCTCAATCTTAAAATAAGTAAATTAATACATATATAATGAGACGCATTATTCCCAAGATTTGTGTTCTATGTAATAACGATTTATAGAAACATTTCTGCAGAAACGTACATGTCGCACGTGCATATTTATAAATACATTTGTTCTTATTTACCCAATTCATTTAAGAAGCTCATTTAATTTTCCATTTTCACAAAGAACTTAGTCGCCCTGTAGTCCTGATGAACTAAAGTATTCATAGATTCGTCTTCAATTTATTGAACAATTTTGAAACAGTAAGATTGTTGGAACGGCATGGTTTGAAGCTAAAACAACGCTCTTCTTTTTATATGAATATTCGTGTACTGTATAGTTCAATAACCCACATGTTCTTCCATGAAGGTGACAACAATATCGCAATACGTGCAGTATACTCAAACATTACCTCACCATACTAGATGAATCTTTTGGAGCAATGATATTTCTATCTCTTATTGCACCATCAGTCGATATGGAATGGATTGTTGTAGAATGTATTGCTGTTATAGAATGCCATTGATACAATACCATGGCTTTGCGTTTCGGAACAGGTAGTACTTCGAAGTGATATAACTCCGAGAACCTTCACTGATCTTCACGCCCGGCCGCTCAACTTAGGGCAGCAGACGATAAAAAGACACGACGAAGCAAACGAGAACTCGAAGGCGAATTTGGACGCGATGGGAACTTTAAATGAAAAGATAATTACCTCATTAAAGAACATTACCATTAATGATTTGGTTCGGGTCATTATATCAAAAAAGGTTTAAAATTTTCCTCTTGGAAATTTCCATATTGCAAAGAGTTCAATTCCCTATGATACTTTCTAAGACTGATTTAGATCAGAATATTTCCCCGTCGCAAACAAACTGAAAATGTAGGTGTTTTTAACTAAACAGTATGAAAATATCCATTATATAAAAATGAGAAGTAAACTACCTCTCTAACTGAAATATTTTCTAAATATTATGCCTTATAACTTGGAGTCAACAGTTTGTTAATAATAAGGAAATTGTGCATTTTTGTTTATGTATTGGCTGGTAGAGTGACCATAAATATGTTACCGCTGTAAACGTTTTGAATAAAAATGCGTTTCCTTTGACAAGATCTAATGACAAAATGTATCAACATTTTGCCGCCATAAAAGGTCGATTTTTCGACAGTGGTTCACATATAGTGATTCAAGTGTGGAATACTGATAGAATAATGAAGTACAGTAACTACGTAAATACGCCACACTACAAGTACGTTAGTTGAAATAGTTTCATAAATGTGAAATGGGATTCTGATGTGATAAAATCTTGGCTATACTTTCATTAGCATAGAATAGTTTCAAAGTTAAGATAAATATGTATCTTTGGTAATAAGCAATGCCTATCTTAAAAAATAATTTAATGGACCATGAATAATTCTATTGGTATGACCCTTACCGAAATATGGATATTATTAATTATATGTAATTATTGATACATATTTTATGTGCGTGAATTTTTTAAACAACATTTTTTACAACAAAACTGCATTTTACGTAGTATGTGAAGATATGTTTGAAGAATAGTGTTAGAGACAAATAATCGATATAGAGATTTTAATTTCAATGCACATTTTGGGGGCGTATCATTTTGTGTCAAACTTCAAATTCTTTCGTACATGGAATATCGTATATAAAACCTACATTTTCTTCTTTTCACTTCATTACCTTGAGTGAAGCACGTTATTTATATACAGGGGAACTACGAATGTTATGGAAGATGTAAAGTCATTATATCATATTTTATCTCAGAACTATATCAGAATGTATCATTATTTTATATGCAAACAAGTATTTTATATGCAAACCGGTGGTCGAGATCGCTAAGGCAGTAGTGCCGTAGCGAACTCGGACCGAAGGATCGCGGGTTCGAGTCCCGCCTCGGGCATGGTTGTATTGTGTTTCGTCCTTTCACCCCCTATCATCATCATTATCGTGTCAACCCACAGTTACCATACCGTTACAAGCAATAGTGGTCGCTAATGCCCTTAGTAGTTGATGCGACCTTAAATAAAAAAAATGTTGTCAATGTTGTGCCAATGCTTACCAAAGGAACTGCTACTGCTGCTACTGCTGCTGGAGAATGATCCACTACCTCCTGAAAATGTCAAAGAATATGTATACTTATGTGTATGCTCGAAATGAACTCGAAATTGTTTGAGAACACGAAGTTATTAAAATCAATTTTTTTAACAAAACAAAGCCAGGATATTTTTAAAAGTAGCCGACTGTGTTAAAAAATTCTCATAGTGCAATTGTAGAGCGAAGAAAACTTTAAATCACTTAATAATAATAATAATAATAATAATAATAATAATAATAATAATAATAATAATAATAAAAAGAATACTAATAATTAATAAGTTTTACTACTTATGATGGGCAGGAAACCAAGATTTTATTTTCAAAATTATATTCATATTTGACTGAAATTTTCTTTGCACATTATAGAGTTTTCATCATATTCGTAAATAATGAAAAATACAGTTACAAAGTTCTTTTCCTACAAATATTTGATGACAGTGTTTACACATAGACATCACGAAGTTTTATGTAGTTCCATAGAAACGTTCATTATAATTATTTGCTTGAGAGAACTCATCACATTTCGATATATATTTTTTTCCACTTAAAAGTAGATTATTAAGAGAAATCTTTGGAATTGTTTTACGTCAATGCCTAGAGCATTCATAGTTGGACATTGTACAGCCTAACATTTTAGTTTCGAAGACAATGAATATATGAAAGAATTATGCTAACCACATTAACTTACATTATTTACAAATTACAGCACAGTAGAAATGTTATTGTTTATTTATTCGTATTATGTATGACTTTAACACTGAAACATGCATTGGGAATATAAATATAGACAAAATTCTTTAACTTACCAAATCCTCCAAATCCGCCAAAGTTACCAGAGACTGAAAAAAAGAGAAAATTGATTTACACGAAAGAATGCACTATAATTGTTTGTGTATTAAAATATTTTATGTTGATCTAGATCTGTACCTTAATGTTATATAGCACTGTAGGATATCCTACGATCCGCCTCAATTTAAAAACTTAGTCCATCACACATAATTGTAATTACGGAATTTGCTTTCTAAAGTAACACATGTAAACGAATGCTGGATTTTGCGTTTTTAAACGTAGTCAATTCGGTGTACCATTGAAACCAACATTTTTCAAGAGTTAATACCAGAGGTGTAACCAAGGAGTAATACAATTTTGCTAAATAAAGATTTTAAAAATAAATTAACGAGTCTCATACGTGTCTCCCAGTTAATTGATATAATTCAAAAATGAAACTGCATATTGTTTTTTTTACTTTTCCAAATTGTTTAGAAGTTCCATCAATTTTAATAGTTGCCGTATTGTGGGCTCTGATTATCTTCCAAATGACAGCTCCAAATGACTCCTGCGACATTGGTGCAGGTTTAGGAGCACAGACGTCCATGATAGATTGAACCACGAATCAGTATTTCCCAAAGAGAAAATTGAGGAGCTGACAGTGTTTGTTGGACACTTGAAACGAAAAGCCATTGAGCGCGGTCCATCGTTGCTGCAACTCTGCCCTTGGGTAAACAATGGTGACGAAGCATTCTGAGGTATTTTAGCAGCGCAGAGTCTGCAAAGTATGACGCAAGTGTTGTATTCGGCTAGCCTTGTATTTTGAGGGTTAAAGTTCACTATCCATTTGTTTCAAGTTCTTGTTTTTTCCTGCCGTGTCCGTCAGTACTTAAAGCGTACTTAGGAAATCTGAGAACAACAAGAAATGCTTCTGATACGAAGCTTTAGGCAGCTTTCCGTATGTAAATGTGTAATCTAGCCATTATAGCTTTTTAAAAATCGAACGCGCATATTATTCCTCTTCGTAAGTCTGTGATCTATTGTAGAATTACTGCTTCAATAGATCATGAGTGATTGACATGGGCGAGCGATCCGATTTTTGCTCGTTCTGTGCAGTACCAGATACGTCACAAACCATATGATCATAACAGAAGTTTGAAAAGGTAAGCCAGACGCTCGTCCGCTTGTTGCAAGTTAGAAGCAATGGCAAGTTAGAAGTGTTCAAAAACATTTTAAAAGTGGCATTAAGTTACAATTTTCAACAGAGAAAATAAGACGATAAAGGTGTTGAAATAATAATTGCAATTTAAACAATGCTTCATATATGTTTCAAATACTTGTGATAATGTGATAATTTAGTATCTGCGTGCATTTAAATTTTATGCTAATATTACGACACTAAGTAGTGCAAGAAGCTCATTGAATGAAGATGCAGAGCTAGCGAAATAGCTTACCCATGACTTTTCATGGTTTGACCCAAGCTCGAAAGAGCATGCAAGAGATCATTCCATTCGAGAAATTAAAACTAATAGTGTTAAACTGCACATAAACAATGTCCCAATTAGGGTGGCGTGGAAAGTTGATTTGCTTTTGCTATCAAACTTCTCTATCCAATTTTTCTTACGTCTTCTACCTCCTGGCCAATCATAAACTGTGACTCATCT